CGGCTCTGCCGAACTCTAAGAACCTGATATGTATATGCTCTGCTGTTTGATCATTTGCTGCTTGCAGCACCCTCCTTTGCAAGGGAGTCAGCAGCTTCATTGTCTTCCAGGCCAGTATGGCCAGAAATCCAGACCAAAGACAATCTGTTACGTCTTCCTATCAAGGAGAGTCGTTTTTGTCAATTTGCTACCAATTTAGACCTTGCTTGGTAGGAGCCAAGAGCTACCAACGCCCTTTCACTGACCGAGAATATTTTTATTGACTTGTGGGTGAGGTTGGATTTATCCAATATCTCCCCACAAAATTCAATAACGTAAATTTCCGCTTGAAATACAGTCGCATAAGCTCCTAGGCAGGTTGATATCTCTGTCCTGGGCCTGCGACTAAAAACACCTGCACCAGAGCTGAAAGGTGTTTTTGATCCATCTGTGAACCAACAACTATCTGCTCTTAATATTTCCTTCTCCCTGAGGATCCAGTCCTCTCTACTCGGGAACAGTACTTTATAAGGCAGTTCGTAGTTGACAGTTGGAGGCATAAAGTCATATCCAGAATGCTGCGACTTCCAGTGTCAACCAACTTCTTCGAAAAACGATTTTTCATAACAAATTAATCTTCCAAGCCAGATACAGCATCCCAGAAGTAACTAACAAATAGTTATCAAAAATGTACTGATATTACGTGATGCAAAAATGAAAGCGAATCTTTGCGTTTCAATCAGTGCGCATTTGCCAACGTAACACAAGTCGATTAATTCCGTCAGCATTAAAATTGCGTGCTCGGGATTCGATGAAGTCGACGAAGGCCGTTTTTGCTTGGTCCTGATTGTCGATGTTTCTACCGGTGAGTCGATTGGCGAGAGGTCTGAATGTATGGTGGGTTAGGCAGAACCTCGTCGTTCAATTCAATTAATTTTCAGACGGTGATTTGTGACACGTGCAAACGGGCGTTGTCGTGGACCAGTGCCGGCTGCTGCTGACAGTAGATTTCGTGATTGGTCAGCCTCCACTGTAAGTTGACCACTTCGGAATCTCCGGAACGAAATTTCGCGAAGCAACGTCGAACACTATAATTGCCAAATGCCTGGTTACTTTTACGGGCTGTTTTGGCAGCACTTGATGATTGGTGACTACCTAATTGACCCATTTTTTCCATCAGCAAGATCAGTAGATGAATCCTACACACACTTTTTACGAAATCATTTACCCTTTGCGTTAGAAGAAGTGCCGGTATTTGTAAGAGGCAACATGTGATTTATGCACGACGGGGCTCCAGCTCATTTTAGTGTTCTTGCTCGTCAGAATCTCGACATCACCTAAACCTTAAAATTGGCCAGCTCACAGTCCTGATTTGGATCCTAGATATGTACTAGATGTGAATGACTTGAGGAACGAGCGAAATGTCCACCAGAAGGTGGAAATTTTGCTCATTCACTTCAAGGTCGAAATTGTTTATCATTTATTAATAATATAAGTTTATTCATGACATTTTATAATATATACATCGGAAATAATAAACAAACTTCTGAATGAACTGATGATAACCTTGAGAATAGGAAGCACCCTGTATACCACGACACAGAATAAATATTTATTGACATATGGAGCTACAAAAACAGATAACATCAAAACGCACAAAACTTTGAACCAACCTAATAAATTCAGTTTGAACTCTGCTTAGATCGTATACCTTTCCCCCTATGTAAAGTGAAGGTGACACCTAAAACTAATAACGAATCCTCCATTCAAATTAATTAGGATGCATACTGGGTACTCCCTTCTGGTTTATTTTTACTCCTTTTGAGCTCGAGGAAAATAGACATGCCGTGGAAATGTCTGAAAATAACTTATTTTTAGAGAACGCCCCTTTCGTTTATCTTCTAGCATCTTCAACACATTTATCATCCACCATTTCATTATGAATATACTAGTTGAGAAATGCCTATGATAATCAGTAAACGAATGAATATTCGATGAAATGGTAGATATAAATATTGAACTGACTGACAAATAAGTTCCTCAGATATACTCCACAATTTTAACACATGGTGGAAATCGTATCACTATTTATGATAATGATTGAAATTTTTCATACATTCATGGTTGAAAACCACACTAACAAAAGACTGGGCTTGAGAACCGACAAGACACATCAGTCTTGCTTATTTTCACAAATCAATAAAGACTTTATTTCCAATATTCGTTTTATTACAACAAAACTTTTGTCAGTTGGACCAGTCATCAGCCATCAGCAAAATCAAAATTCATGACTGAAAACTTTACCAACGAAAGATTGGGATTGAAAACAGGCAAGACATATTCAATATAGAGTATTTTTCACAAATCAATATAGACTTTACTTCCAATATGCGTTTCACTACCCTAATTTACAATGCAATTTGAACAAATTACTGACCCTAATAAATAGAGATTATTACTTGGTAAATAGACAGTTTTAGGATCAAGTATCCAAAAGATATGAAGCAAGTATTGTTACTGATGATTCGGCTAATTTTAGTAAATTTTTCATGATTTTTGTTCAATTTAGATATAATGGTGACATTTGTTAGGAACATTTTGAGGTATTATTTCGAAACTCATCAATTATTTTGTTGTTAATTGGTCAACATAATTGAAGTGATTTAATGGAGATATGAAGCTGTTATGTTCAATTTGTTCATTATTTTGAAAGATTGCTAAGTATTTCATTATATAAGAGTCTGTTTACTAAATATTTAGGATAATAATTTTGAACGAGAATTCAACTGAAATCAGATGAGTAATTTTAATGATTTCGTTTTTAATGATTCTATTAAATTCATATTCATTTTATTTGGATGATAGGAATGATAATACATGAATCTTTATAGTAGATGTTAACTTTATGTAACATTCTGTGAAAAAATATTTTGTTCTGACCTGAATGTTCAGATCATATATTATGAATTGAATGCATTTAAAATTTCTTCTTTTCCATTCTGCAGTTACGATGAAAATCAATGGGCTCAACTATATCACCCTTATTATCGAATTATGAGTATGTTTCAGATGAGCTTATTGATGGATATAAGTAAAAATTTATTTATCAAACATTCAGTCGATGCTCTGAATCTGACCGTACAAAAAAACAATGGTGATGAAAACTTCCCCCAAAAAGTGTTCCTAGTGTTCCTGTTGAACAGAGTGGACCCAATTGGACACTTTTGAAGGGAAACTCTTGTTTTCAAACTAGGTAGACGAAAACTAATGGCTGTGTCTGAGGGTCAAATTTCATGACAAACTTAATGGTGAAAACCATAATCGTTTATGAGTTACATCATGTTTTTCGAAAATGTGCTCTTTCGAAAAGTTGCTGTAACTATTTTGGTGTCAGAATATCTTTCAATCTTCCCCAGAGATAAAAGTCCATAGGTGTTAGGTTCGGTTACCTGGCCGGCCAACGGTTAGGTACTTGGTTGGCTATCCAATTATTGCCAAAATTTGAAGCCAGAAAATTGGTGACAATTGCAGTGTTGTAAGGCGAAGCCTCGTTTTGTTGAAAATATATTTTTATGAGCTCCATTAGTGGCAATTCATCAACAAGGGGTTCAACATTTTGTTTTGAAATTTCTAAGTACCTCTGAAATGTGAGAGTGCCATTATAAATGAACGGGCCGATAATTCTACCCCTGAAAACACCTGCCCACACACTAAATCCAAATCTTCCTTGACTTCTCTGCTCCACAATAGAATGATGATTTTGTTGTGCCGAAGTATAAGATTTGTTGCGGTTGAAAATGTTGGCACTGCTCACATAAGTTTCGTTTGTCCAAATACAATTTAACGAAAAATCACGCACTTGGTTACAACTTTCCAGGAACCACTGGCAAAAAGCCCTGCGGCGTTCAAAGTCTCCTGGCCTGAGTTGATGAACTCTTCTGGTCCTGTATGGCTTGAATTTGTGTTTTTTCAAAATCCCCCTAACGTTAGCTCTTGGTAGGCCTGTTGAAAATTTCAAATTTCGCGTTGACGTTTTGGGATTATTTTCAGCAGCTCCTGAAACGACTATTTCTTCTAACTCCTTATCCCTATTTGATTCATATAATTTTGGCCTTCTCTTTTCAAATTGACCACCATCAATTAGGTTCTGTCACTTTTTTGTCAAGAAAAAAGTAACAGCAACTTTTTAAAAATGCAAATTTTCTAAAAACATGCTGTAACTCAAAAACGATGATAGATATCGATATGCCGTTTTCACTATTAGGTTTGTCATACAACTTGACCCTCAGACACAGTTTTCAACTATCTGATTTTTTTTCCATATCCATTCCATAGTCATTTCAAAAACTACACCTCACGATTTGATCTTCACAAACTGTATTTGAAAAAATATAATCACAACATGTTTCGCTACCACTGTAGCTTTCTCAAGTGTATTCATACAAGTGTACACCTGTCTAGTTTGAAAACAGAAGTTTCCCTTTAAACTTGTCCAATTTGGTCCACTCTGTACATGATTTCTAGTGGAAATTGACAAATATATCTTTCATGGAAAATACAGAACAACTCGACAAATGAAAATATTGGTCTTTAACTCCTCTATTTGGACAGTTCTGTCAATTCAAATTTCATGTATTTGAAAGAGTGTAAAAATTTAAATGAACTGTTCGAACTGTAAAAAATACTCTCATATCTACACTAGGGATTCGATATCAAGTTTCAAAGGTTTTTACTGAAGTTAGGTTTTGTTGCAAGACTCGGTATTATTACAGAACGCATAAATAGAACTCAAATCATCATATTGAATACCCATACGCTTCAAAGAACACTTATCAATTCAGAAGATATGAACACTTCCTCATGTAACAACAATATTATCTTTTCATTTCCATAAAAAAGGGGGACTTATGTGGTTTTAATATTCTAATGAATATTTCTTTGAGATCCTGATTATTACCGGAGAACTATTTATTGATTTGTTCAGCCATATGAAAACATTAGTAATTGAAACTGAGACTCACCAAAGTTTGTGATCAAAATAAAATTTACAACATCTGGAATTTTCCAATGAATCACGAACAAGATATTTGAAAATTACCGCGCTTAGGCAAGAAAACTCCGCGGAAAATCTGAACTACTCGCTGTGTTTTCGCAGACTAGCTGTTGCGATCGAACGAGAGTAAAATCAGTGCAAAGGAGTAAAAGTAACGCACATCGTATGTGGTTCGCGTAGACTGCGATCATACGAAAGTAGTAGACCCCTTACGGAAGTACAACTTCCGTTATCGGTGAGATAGTGTGGTGGTGCAATATGTCGCGTGTTCTATTTGAAACTGTATCAACGGGAGCACTCCCAGTTTTTTGCCACTCCTAGCCCGCACACATCTAATAAATCTCTTTTATTAAAATTTGTCCCTTTCCAGAAATATTTTAGTGGTCGAAATATGAAGAGGTGCAGGAAGAATGATCGCGGGGAATTCGTAATACAGGGTCTTCCAACGGGGACTACCGAACTTTGACAATTGATGCCGGCCATCTTCTTAAAGCTACATAGGTCAAATTAGTTGTCATTCACTCAGAGAGGACTATTCGCAATATGGTGGATACATTTGAGTCCACTGGTTCAGTAAACGATCGATCAACACACGTACGTTGACGAAACGCAAGATCTGCCGAAAACATCGCCGCTGTCTGTGAGAGTGTGCAGGAGAATCCAAGGTAGTCGTTTTCCCGTCGCTCACAAGAACTCGGCCTTTCGCGAATGTTGCCTCGTGACTTGGGCCTACACCGTATTCAACTGTAGGTAAACGACCATAGACAACGGAATGTGTTCGCTAAATGGGCTCTGGAACAGTTGGCAATTGACCCAATTTTCATAGAAAAATCATCTTCAGCAATAAGGCCCATTTCTGGATGGATGGGTACGTGAACAAACAAAATTGTCGAATTTGTGACGATACCAACCCACATGAGATCCAATAGCGTCAAATGCATTCCAAAAAAGTCACTGTTTGGTGTGGGTTTTGGGCTGGCGGCGTCCTCGGTCCATATTTCTTCGAGAACGACCCTGACCAGGCTATCTCTGTCAACTGCGAGCACTATAGGTCGATGGGTCGGAAATATCCACACCCTAAATCGGTTCGACCAATCAGCCTTACATCCTTCCTGTTGAAAGGACTTGACAGGATACTGGACGAATACATCAGGAGTATGGCATTATATGCATCCCCCCTGAATAACCACCAGTACAGAACAGAAACAGAACTGCAACTTCGGCTCTTCAAGGCGAGGCAATTAGGTTCAGCTTCACCAGAGGATGCCCTCAAGGTGGGGTACTATCTTCCCTTCTGTGGTGGCTCCTGGTGGATAGTCTGCTTGATGCCCTCGACTAAAGAAAAGTAGATCTGCAAGCTTATCCAGATGACCTTGTCATCTTGGCAAGGTCCACATTGGGAAGGGTAGCTTGTAATATCCTCCAAAGCAAGATGCACGTTGTTCACAGTTGGTGCCTGAGGGAGCAGATGTCTGTCAACCCTAGCAAAACTGTGATAATCCCTTTCACAAGGAGGAGAAAATTGGACGATCTAACGCCACTTTTCTCAATGGTGAGGTCATTCCATTTGTAACGGAGGTGAAATATCTTGGCATCGTTCTTGAAAAAAGTCAGCTGGAACGCTCACTTGGAAAAGTTTTACACAAAGCCAAACTGTCCCTATGGACATGTCAAGGGATTTGTGGTAAAACTTGGGGTTTAGGTCCCAAACAAATCCATTGGATTTATGTGATGATTGTCAGACCAATGATCACTTATGGTGCAATTGTTTGGTTGGCGAAGGCTTTACAGAAAACGGCCCAGGCAAAGCGCTCTGGCTTACAGATACAGGCTTGTCTAGCCATCAGTGGTGCCATCAGCGGCCATGGAGATCCTTTTAGAGTTACGTCCTCTACACATTTTTCTGGAGAGAGAGGCTAGATGGACTGCACATAGACTTGTGCACACTGCCAATTGCACAAATCAATTTAATTCAGGGTGCAACAGACTGTTGGTTGACACTGGAAGTCACAGCATTCTGGAAATGACCTAACTGTCAACTACAAACTGACTTATAAAATACTGTTCCCGGGTAGAGAGGACTGTATCCTCCGGGAGAAGGGAATCTCAAGAGCAGATAGTTGCTGATTCACAGATGGATCAAAAACACCTTCCGGTTCTGGTGCAGGTGTTTTTAGTTCCAGACCCAGGACAGATATATCAACCTGCTTAGAAACCTATGTGACTGTATTTCAAGCGGAAATTCACGCTATTGAATTGTGTGCGGATAGATTGGAAGAATCTAACCTCATACACAAGTCAATAAAAATATTCTCGGACAGTTAAGCGGCTTGAATTTCCACTTCTTTATTGACAATTGAAATCACCACAAAAGCTAAACCAACATTTTTTTCCGAATATTCCTATCATTTTGTTTTCTTATTACTGCAAGAACTGATATGCTTTCAGCAATAAAAAATTTGTTCCAAATATAGCAGTAAATATTGGAAAAGAAACATTATTCTTACGTTTTCTGTTCGAAATCCCCACATAAATAAGGGAAACGTAAATACTATTTATGATAATAATTACAAATGTTCACAATATAGATTTTCAAACGACAGGAGATAACTGTGTCTATTTTTGACTATAGTCTGCAGGTTTTATGCCGCACGATTCGTCTACTACTGCGGTACACATCAAAGGCGATGTGGTAACAGTTGCAGAGATACATTATTATTGGTGGGCGTAGCTTTGGTTTCTCCTAATTGGATTACTTGACCTTGCCTATGTACACTTAACGAAAGGTAACCAGATTTTATCAATGTTCAATGCCTTTCCTTTTCTATTTAAATTATTCCCGTGTTTTTGAATGAATGTTTGTAACCTCTTTATATACTCCGTGTTAGAAATCACACGTTAAAAGGTAAGACCTCGTTAGTCCTTAGCTCGCACAAGACCCTCAACTTCTGAGAGTTGTCGTTCGTAAGGTTAACGCTGATTAACGGAAAAACAGATTTTAAACAGATTTTTTTTATAAACTCTTGATTAGCACATCATGTACACGAGGGTTCCGATCAAGGACACGATAAGGCTATTTGGCGAAGTATTCACAGCAGATATAACCCAAGATAACCGTTAACAACACCCGGGGTATGCCGGATTCCTTGTAGTTCAGGTCGGTTTACATTGGAACCACGAAAAAAAGTATAGGTACCGGTCTCTCTGAACACAGGAGAAATTGTCGGCTCGGACAAACCGACAAATCAGTTGCAGCCTAACATGCTCATAACAAAGAAATCACTCACATTATCTTATTTGAAGATACAGTAATTCTAGATAAAACTCAAAATTATTATTCAAGAGTATATAAAGAGGCAATAGACATTCCAAGACGCAGGGATACTTTAAATAGAAATGAAGAGGAAATTAACATTAATGAAATCTGGCTACCTGTTTTTAATTGTACACAAATAAGGTCAGATAATTCAATCGGGGTAACCCCTGATGGTCTTGAAAGGTTCAAAGGACATAAGTCTCGACTATGCAACGAGAAAAACGTTTACTACGGTCGACTTGACTTGAAAACGGATTCTGAGGAGGAAGAGGAGTTGTTCCTATGTAGGAAGAAGAATATATTCTAACTTGTGCTAAATAGGGCTGAATAACGGAGACCTCAGTTGCAGAGAAGCCAACTAAAGCACAGACAGTTCGTCATGATCATTGCAAATCGTAGGTACTGTATGACAAGTGTAAAGCAACAAAGGACCTGTACAAACTAGAACATGGAACAGGATTATTATTGGAATGGATATTATGAGGATGCAGTGTTCACCAGCGACTTGAAAGAAGTAGACAAGTCAGGCGGATCTCACGAAAAAAAATTCGTGAATTGAATTTTTTTTCTTCTTGTTTTTGTAATGTACAGCTTTCCTGGCTTTCCAAAGACTATTTCATTATTTTTTTTATTATTTGATCTACTGTTCACTCTTACAATCGATTTACTCTCTTCTTAGGGGGGAGATGAGATGGTCAAACATGAATGAAAGTTAAACTGAACATGTTTAACTTTTATTTCTTTGTAACATAATTATTTACAATATATGTATTCATTTCTAAAACAGGTCTTTTGTCGAAGGTTTCACAATTTAAAATTTTCATACAATTTTCATAAATGTATATTTCAGTTGCTTCTATAAAAAATAATGTTCAAAAATCGAGAATTACTTGGTAGTATTTTATTTTGTAACAATTTAACTAGACTATACTTTCCTTTATATCCGTAGATAGAAAGTTGTATCGACCATTGATATAAAAGAAAATATGTTCATCTCTACATCTCTAGGAAAACAAAGATTATTCAGAGTTTTAGTCTTTGGTTGATTTTTTGTATATACTCTCATCGTTTAAAATATATCAGTGAAAACAAATACAGGGTGGGCCATCGAAAACTTAACATAGAGCAAACCCGAAAAAGCGCTCAGACAGGTCGTTTTTTTTGGGAGGGGGACAGTTTTTTTCCCCATCGTCACTTCAACCCCGGAGCAGAGGCGTGAACAACCCTTGGAATTTTAGTAGGAAATAGGGGGCGAGTCGCACATCATTTGAAAGATCTTGGAATTCTCTAAACAATGGTGTGAATTTTTTTAAAATTTGGACGTATTTAAAAGAGTTCTTTCCAATAATTAACTTTTTCAATATTTTCAAAAGCAACAAATCGTTGTACGCCACTTCTCAGTTGGAATGTATTTGGAACTCTTTCAGTTGTTTCTTACGCTACGTTTTTGTTAACTTGTTTGTTTCTTTTCTGATAAGAGGACTATTATAATTGAAAAATGGATAAAAATGCTGTTTCCATTTCGCATTTTTATGTTAAAAAGTGATATCTACATTATTACTAGTAGTGAGTGCCGTAAAGTGTTGCTAAAAAAACAATGGTTCACACAACTACAACTGCGAGAGCCGCTGAACTGTTCAATCAACAACATGGGAAGAATTTGTCGCGACAGTATGTCTTCGATTTAATAATAATAATAATGATACATTTATTACCCATAAAAGAAAAAAACAGAAGAATATACAGTAGTGGTGGTGCTATTAAATGATATTCTGATGAATACATGGCTGGACGTATTGGTTCAGATAACAGTTGAAAACCGTTTCTGTTCTTCTACCAATGCCAAAGAGATATTTACAGTTTTAACAGATAGCAATACATTAACGAAACTAAATGAGTAAAGATAAGTAAATAAAGAGAAGGAGAGGAAAGGAAAGCATAAGAAGGTAAGGGTTAGAGAGAGCAGAGCAATTTTTGAGAACTTCACTGAATACTTAGTAGGTAGTTTTTGAATTTGGATTTGAATACCAACGGCGATAGTTGTAGGTATGATCCATCCAGTTTATGCAAATTATTTATGAAGACTGCCATATTGTAGGAAAAGGACCGTTTGTATATTTCTTTACAGTGTGATGATATAGTAAGAATGGTTTGTTTACGAATATTCAAATTATGGATGTCCGTTCTATAAGAGAGTTTTTCATGAAGATAAGGTGGAGTCTTTGATTTAAATATATTATGAAACTGGCAAGCTATATGATGACGTCGCCTGTTGTGCATATTTAGCCATTTAAGCTCTTTTAGTTTATCAGTAATTGATATACGACTGACTTTTGTAATACCACAAATTAGACGAACAAATGAGTTCTGTACTTTCTGTATACGACGAATTTCGACTTGATTAAGGCAAGGACTGTAAACAACATCGCAATAATTAAAATGAGAAAGAACCAAGATGTCACATAACATTTTTTGAGGTCTTTTGATAAAAAGTGTCTTTGAGGAAAAATTACCTTTGGAGAAGCGTATGCGATTCTCAATTTATTAGTAACGTGTTGTTTGACGCGAAGTGTTGTATCAACTGTGAGTCCCAAATTTTTACAAGAATTTAATTGCAGAATTTCGCAACTGGATCTGTAGCAAATAAAAATAGGCAAATCGAACCACCAGTAACAAATGAGGCGACACAAGTGGCAATTCTGGGCCATGTTGAGCTTGACCATACTTTGAAAACAAGAAAGCTAGCATTTGTTTTCGGGGTGTCACGAACTAGCATTCGGCGTATTTTAAAAACCCACAAAGAGCATCCCTACAAGATTAAAATGACGCAAGAACTGAATGAAGATGATTTCGATCGACGCTTGCAATTTTGCGAGTTGGTTAGTGAACGAACGGTGGAAAATCCACATTTTGTTTTCAACATTTGCTTCAGTGATGAATGTTCTTTTTTTCTAAATGACACAGTTAATCGCCATAATTGTCGCTAATGGACTGATTCAAATCCTCAAATTTTTCATGAAGTGCATACTCATGAAATGAAATGTACGGGCTGGAATTTTTGGTGACCGTATTGTTGGACCATTGTTTTTAGAAGGCAATTTAACCAGACAAATGTATTTGGAGCTTCTGGAAGATACTATCAATCCCCTTCTCACTGATTATTGAAAATGACCACAATTATCGGGAGGATCTGTTGATATTGCTCTACAATGTTCGAGAACGTTTCCAGCAGAATCTGTATTATTGCATGGAAGCTGGAGGTGCCCATTTTGAGCATATGCTAACATGAGAATAAAATGAGTAACTTCAATTCTAAATTTAATATGGTTCGTCCAAATGAAAAAACAAATGTACACCGTTGTTTAGAGAATTTCAAAATCTTTCAAACGATATGCGACTCGCCCCCAGTTCCCTATTAAAATTCCAAGGACTGTTCACCCCTCTGCTTTGGGATTGAAGTGACGACGCTGTAAATAGGGCAAAAAACTGCCCCCCTCTCAATGAAAGTCGACCTGTCTGAGCGTTTTTTCGGATTTGCAAGATTAGTACCCAAAACTTCCATGTCAACTTTTCGATGGCCCACCCTGTATAATTTCATGTACCAAATTGATGCGTTGTAGTAGCAGAACACATCATACATTAGATGAAAAACTGAACTAGGTGATGGTAACAATCAAAATTGCGTTGCAGATATTAGAAATATTCTAGATGAAAGGCTGATATTTCTATCGTATTCAATTTTCATTCTGTGCTGAATTCTTCATCTATAATTGCACCTCTATCACCCAGAGAAAATTTCCTCCGAGTCAAAGCACCTTTGATGGTTGTTCTTGTTGCACCCCATTTTTCTTTCACCGCTTCCGAGGATGTCATCAAAATGGAATAGGACGAGTTTCCTTCCCCTTCTTTACTGTGATGAATTCCGTAAAGAAAATACACCAGCATACCTAAAAAATGTATCAATATTGAATAAAATGATGGGGTATTTGAGAGTGTATTTATTAAACAAACACGTATAAGTATCCTCTCTTCTCTAGAATTTCAGAAAACAAATGAATAATTGATAATTTCTTACCCAAAACCATCCATACGAAGAATCTCAGCCACGTTAAGATATTGAGATGAACCATAAATTCGATGTTACATAATATGCTCAGAGCTGGTATGAAAGGTACCATTGGCACCTTGAATCTCAGTCCCATGGTATTCTGATGATGAGCCGTGATCGCTAATAAACCTACAAGGAGAATGTTGTCAAAATTGCTTTAGTTTCGAAGCTTATACAAAACTGGTCAGTTCCAATACTAAATTTCATAAAAGCTGTTGTAACTGTTGGAGTTACCTAAGGCAAAACGCGTTTTAAATAAATCTGTGACAATATTATAATTATTATCATGGATAGAATTACAGTCAGTGCAAGTGAATTTTGGCCAACAAAATCTACTTGAATTGAATGTGTTATGCAAAAGGGGGTCAAGTGATGTCTCATTTTGGAGGGTATTCAATTTTCTGTACAGCCATACCTTTATTTTTTAATTTCGTGCATGCGTCATAATGAAACAAAAAATTCAAAGTGTTGAAAGGTATCACGTAGATACTCCATTGAATCTGTCCGCTGTACAATATGCCATGCACCTTCAATTATTTTGCTTGTTTTTATCAACCGTTGTTCGTCAGCCGTAATAGTTGAGTAAAAAATTGTATGTTTTCTGTGGACTTGCTGAAGAGAAACAATTTTGCAGTTGTTGTTTGTGTTTCTTGTTCAGTATTACTTTCAGACAATAGGCTAAAAGTTCTAGCCATGACTCATTTGACTGAACGTCAAAGAGTAGAAGTGTTAATCCTACTAGGATGTGGGGACAAAACTAGAACCCAGAAGAATATAAATGAAATGTTCAATAATAAATATCCTGATCATCACTTTCGTGAATTTGGGACTGTCAAAGATGTTTCAAAACCAGGCAGGGGTGTATTGATTGACGATGGGAAGAAATTGGATATTTTGGTAGACATCGAGGAGAATCCACATACACCTACTCGACAACTTGCCGCCCATTACGACATAAGTCAAAGTTCGATATTGCGTATTTTTTAAAAGTGAAAAGTACCACCCTTATAAAGTACAATTGGTACTACAATTGGTACGATCCAGATCGCAGAACTGAGTTTTGCGAAATAATTGAAGCCAGGTGTCTGCAGGATCCTTCGTTTAAGAAAAATATATTTTTTTTAATGGAACCGTTAACAGACAAAACTGTTGATATTGGAGCCAAGAAAATCCCCATTGGATGATGGAGGCCCCCACTCAATATCCCAGAAAAATAAATGTTTGGGCAGGGATTATAAATAATCGCATCATTGGACCATATTTTTTCAACGAAACATTAACCGGTGAACGTTACTTGGCGTTTATGACTAATTTTCTAGTTCCAATGATGAAAAGACTTTTTCCAGATAATGATAATCCGAATCAAATAGATAGGAGTATCTGGTATCAGCAAGATGGTGCTCCACCACATTTTGCAGTTGATGTTCGTGCATATCTGAATGAAGTTTTTCCCAACAGATGGATTGGTAGACAAGGTGCCATAGAGTGGCCAGCCTGTTCTCCCGACATGACACCGCTTAACTACTTTTTGTGGAGTTACCTAAAATACAAAGTATACGTCAATAGACCAAACAATATTGAAAGTTTGCAAATCAGAATAGAGAAGAAATATAAAATATCACTCCCGAAACCATTCAAGATGTTGTTGATAACTTTCAGCAACGTCTTTATTATTGTCAAGAAACAAATGGCTATCAGTTTGAACATTTAATCTGAAGACTTCCATTAGTTGCACATTGATTGCTACCCCTTTAATAAATGATTTAGGTAACAATTTATTCAATTGTTTTTTTGACGCATGCACGAAATTAAAAAATAAAGATATGGCTGTACAGAAATGAGGTATTGAACCCATTTTGCATTTTAAAAAAGGCTGGCTGTGACGTTGAGGGGGGTGAAGGAGGGGGGATTTTTTTATGTCACAGAGTGTCTTTTCGAATACATAATTCGACGTGTTTCACGTGTTATTAATTTATTCAATTGTTTTTTTTGACGCATGCACGAAATTAAAAAATAAAGATATGGCTGTACAGAAAATTGAATACCCTTCAAAATGAGGTATTGACCCCATTTTGCATTTTAAAAAAGGCTGGCTGTGACGTTGAGGGGGGTGAAGGAGGGGGGATTTTTTATGTCACAGAGTGTCTTTTCGAATACATAATTCAACGTGTTTCACGTGTTATTCTTTATCTCGCACAAGTTTCGACATCTGAGAGTTGTCGTTCGTAGGGGTGCGATAGCTGGTTAACGGAAAAACAGATTTTTTTGCAAACAGATATGATGCTCACTGAATATTCCAACAGAAAGCTTTGAATGAACAGGAACCCTCAAGTGTTCTACAAACTCTTCAAGAAGGCCATTTTTCACTTTTGGAAATATCGATTCTCCCTATACCTTTCTAATGTCTTTAGATCATTATTAACTTGTCTATTTTAAAGTTATAATTATAATATTTGTCAATTACTGTTTAAAAAAAAATCTGTTTTTCCGTTAACCAGCCGTCGCACCCCTACGAACGACAACCCTCAGAAGTCGAAACTTTGCGAACTAAGGATTATCGAGGTCTTACCTTTTAACGTGTGATTCCTAACACGGGTTGGACGATAGCAAGTGAAAATCGATCGTTCAGCCTGGGGCTTGAACCACCGACCAACACGGCAGTTAATTCGAGTGAGTGTCGTCGAACCGACCGGCTACCGACCAAATTACTGCATTTAAAAATTTGAATAATGAATAGGAGCATAACCAAAAAAGCCACTTACATCCTCCCATAATCAGTAAGAAAACGGTAGTCAGGATAATGGTCCACCATATTCCGTTAGTCCAATTTTTGGTAGAAATTTGTAGAAGTATACAGAGCGCACAGGAGAAAAACGTATAAATGAACACTGAGGCAGTAACTACGGAACCAGGGGAGTAGTTCCCAAAAACAGGACCCAACCAGCTGTACTGCACCCTTAAGGTTCCTGTTAGATCGATGATTTCGGACACTGGACTAGTCATATCGGAAGTTGTACTCGAGGCTTCTGATCCGGGAGTTAAAACAGGCTTCGAGACAGTGGTCTCGAAGCTAGGTCTATATCTGGAAAAGAAAACAAATGTTTGCTGACAGTTTTCCTGAGTTCAAAAAACATTAGAGTACGTATGTACTGATATGAGATAATACTAGGAGTACTTGAGGAATATGTGATTTTCAAATCGGTACTATCTTTAACAATAATTGTTTTCCAATTTTCCAAACTTCCAGAAATAATATTGCTTCAAATAAAGTTTTGATTATTTTAAACCCGGAGAAGACTAAGATAGAAGATCTTATGTTCATTCTCAATAACAGGTCTCCTAATATTGTCAGATGTCTTAGTTATAAGAAATTCTCATTTTAGTGTATTCCACATTAACGCAGTTCTCCAAATGAAAGAGTTCTTAAACAGTGAAGCTCGAGGTGTACTGAGTTGAGCCTCAAAACGATGAGCAGCCATAGTCCGTGGCGTATTTCTGATATGTACTGCTCTTGATGCAGTGAAATGTGCCAAGTCACTTGAACACTTCCCGTGAAAGTATCTGTATCTGTAGAGTAGTGAGAGTGAGTGTAAGCCCACAGAACTTAGGCCACCCATTTTTAACTTTCGGTCCCCATGCAATGGCTCCGTACGTTAACATAGGTCTTATTATTGCAGTGTAGATCCAGGTGACCACACGGGGTGAAAGACCCCATGCGCGTCCCACTGTCCTCCGACATTGCTCATAAGCCAAATATGCTCTTTTTGCTCTACTCTGTAGGTGAGAGTTCCCGTGAAAGTATATATAGAAAGAGAGACAATTCCCCAACCTGTTTTCGATGTTCCAGACTACCAAGGTTGCAAGTAATGTTTGCGTCTCCAATCTCGCGGATTACTATTTTCTGAGAACAATACTCCAAAGAAGATCTGATCTGAGTTTTAAAAGCATTAAAAGTTGCTGAGGTGTGTACAGTTTTATGGTTCTGAACAGTGTTCCAAGCTTTTGAGAGACAGCCTTTGCAATTTCAGCGACATGATGGTGCTGAAACATATTGGTGTCCATTTTAACCCCCAACAAAGTAATCGAAGCAGAAGGTGGAATTGTCTGACCTGACATCATTATATCCGGGCAGGGAACTTTCTTTCAGGAAGCAGGAGAGCCATACACAAAAATGATTTGACAAGCCATAGCATCGGAGTTTGGCCAGAAAACCCTCATGCAACACACGGTCAAAGGCCTTAGAAATATCAAGCTTAACAGTTCTTGACTCTCCATGTTTTTCTATTGCGTTATTCCAAATATGGATAACAAACGTTGATTTCAAATACAATTTGACAACTCCCCCATTATCCACCACAAAAAAAGACGAAACTTTACATCCTTGTCCACAATGTGGTTATTATTCCTCATGCTGTAAAGAATAGAAAAGATATAATAGGTTAGCTTGGGTCAGGAGGTTAGGTTGGGTTAGGAGGTTAGGTTTTTAAGAAACGTAAAATCAACATTAAATAGACGTTTACGGTATCTCATTTTCTCCTCTACTTTCCAAAATGAAGATGAATCGATTTTTATTTTTATTTCGTGCGGACAGAGATTCACTGATGATGTATTGATATAGACTGTTCAAAAAGTTCATAAATATAGCTTTCTAAACTACTGGTTTCCATTAAAAACTTATCAGTCGAATGTGAAAATGGATTATGTGCACAAAGTTACTCATCAGGTCATAGCAAAATTTATACGTACAGTAACCGTGTTCAGACCACCTAATGAATCAATCGAAACAAATATTTTCGAGAAAGTATTATTGATAGCCAAATATTTAAATACTGAAGCAGAGCTTATTGTCGAATGATTTGAGAATGGAACTTTTAACAGGTGATGATCAACTGTATTGCCAAACATGCGCCAAACTAACTGACTATTATAAGAAAACAAGTATAGCTGAGGCACCAGTCAATCTAATAATGACACTAATGATCTTCAAACACGACTCAACCTCTGACGGATGCACCAAACTCTTACGAAGGTTCGAAATATATGAATACTTCAATCTAGCAGACCACTATTATAATATTCATGCAGTCATTGTTCACTGTAGTTTTGGCGTTAAATCTGGTCATTATTACGCATCGGTCAAAGACGAAACGGACTGATTTAAGTTTGACGATAGTCGTGTAACAAAGTGTTCTGATGTTTTGAATTTATTGGAGCCTCTGGAGACACCCCACATTTTGTTTTATGAAAGAGAGGACATTGTTGATCAAGATCTTCAGATGATGTGGTGCTTTAGGTTTTTCCGGGTTTTCCTGCAGCTGAAAAAGGAAATGCGCCACTGGAATCAATGAAGTCGCCCCGGAGCGCCAATTAATTTTTGTTGTTTCATAATTTCATCATTTGTATTACTTTCTTTGAATAATGAAGGAAAATATAAAACAATTTCTAGCTAATTTACCATTTCTGAATGAAATAAAAAATATTGTAACTGATTGTGGAAAAGTATTTACATCTGGAGAATTTCATGAATGGGCAAATGAGAGAGGAATAACAAACATACTATTCCATTTTCCTGGTGGTTGAAAAAAATGCCTCGAGGCAGCTGTGAGGCATCATATTCAGTCACATTCTGAATATTTAGATTGTTTACCATCATACTTGTTTAAGATCTACAGAAAATCAATAGTTATACAATAATTATATCGTTACCGTATCCAGGACATCTTTCAAATGCCATTGTTAGAATACTCGTGCATATTTCTCAATTAAATATGGAATTTTTACCTTAAAATTATAACCGAGGCACTGACTATGGTGTAGGCCAAAAGTGTTCCTATAGACATGAATTCTACAAGCTTCTCTAGGTCAAAAATTAAGGCTATGAAGGCCGAGAACAACCCCGAAATCATCAGGTTGATAAGTGGCAGTTGAGTTTTCGCATTGATGTTTCCTAGGAATTCGAAAAGCAGCCCGTCCACAGCCATGGCGTACATACATCTCGGTAAGGAGAATAGAGAGCCGAACAGTGTTGTGGTCATGCCGCAGATTGCACCTAAAAAAGAATATTTTCTGAATATTCCAACGATATAAGAAAATTTGCTTTTAAAGTTAATCTAGCAGTTGGGCAGAAGAATTCATTGGCTAACACGGAAAAAATGCTGATAAAACTTGATTTTATTATTCAATAAAGTTGCCTTCGAGGGCGATATAACGATTATAGCGGTCATACAATTTTTCGATACAATTTTTATAGTACGATTTGTTTTTGGCCTTGAAATAGGCCTCAGTTTCGACGATTACCTCTTCATTGCCGCTAAATTTCTTTCCACCCAGCATTTTCTTGAGGTTTGAGAACAGGAAAAAGACGCTGGCGCCAGATCAGGAGAATACAGTGGATGTGGGAGCAATTCGAAGTCCAATTCATGCAATTTTGCTATTTTTTTTTATTGATTTGTGACACACTGCATTGTCTTGATGAATCAGTTTTTTTTTCTTCAAATGTTACTGTTTTTCCGCGATTTAATGCTTCAAACGCTCCAATAACGCTATGTATAGTTCAAGTAAACGATATAGTGCAACCTACCTTCCAACAGCTCCCCTTTAATAATATAGTTAGAGAGCTAACTAATTTTGTTATTCAATAATCATTTCTGATGGGAAAGTAAGGATTCAAATAACAAGGTGATAACTGAAAATACTTCTGAATACTACTTACTCACATATATATGCAATCGATCGCTTCAAAAACACTATACTAACTTTCTTCGAAAGCTTCTGATAATTCCTCTTCCATATTCTCTGTTTCACTATCACTGTCGTCATTTAAATCAATGATAAATTTATTTCCATCATTAATATGGAAGTGTCCAATCTCCATATAGTCTTCTCAACTAAAATTACTTTTTTAATCCTTTTCTGCCAGTCTTCTTTGGTAATATTAGATACTTCTTTTTTAATTAACTCTTATAATTTTATTATACAATTTCGGAAAATTATTTTTACGCCTGATGCTTTGTTTCATTTTTTTTCCAAATCAACTCGATGTAATTGAAAACACAAAAATAGAGGAGAAGTCTCAGTATGGTGTGTCCATATTTTTCAGCAATACTCTCAAGGGCGTACACTTTTTCAAATGTTTTTATCTGTAAAACTTCAAGTAGTTGCTTTTTGTTACAGTAATCTTCAAAATACCAATTGTTATCCATTGAAAAACTTTGTTTTTCATCTTTCCTCGAATTTTTATTCGGTACTTTGATGAGTTGTCGCGAATGATAGGAAGCGTTGTTAGGAAATATTACACTATTCGCATCCAAATTTTGATTCAATGTGTTTTCAACCCATTCCTCGAATAATATTAGCTTTCATGTTCTCATGATAATCAACATTGCAGTCCTCAAGTTTTTTCCACATAATTTCAAATAATTCGGCACCCATCCTTTACTTCCTCCGCAATGCACAATGATTAGTCGCGATCCTTTTTTTGCAGGCATGTTAGGCGTACATATTCTCGAACCATCAGTCCACCCTTACGTAACTGTGTCGTGAGTGTCATACCAAGTTTCGTCCAAATAGAAAATTTGCCGTTGTTATTGTCTATATTTAGTTATTTGTTCTAAGTATTTGTTACGCAATTCCACAATTCTTTTGCTTTCTATAACTGCTTGACGTTTGTTTATTATTTTAAATCTAAATCCTACTTTCTGAAGAGTTTTGTTATAGCAGCTCACGGCATTATGGCCGGAAGTATTCAATTTCTTTCCTATGATTTCAGTTGTAGGAATCTCATTACTTTTGTAATAGTCGTATATGTTTTTTTTTCAATGATTTTAATAGATAAACATCTGAAGGTTTTATAATCCTGTATTACATTGCGTCTTGCGTTCATAAGGTTTGTTTTTGACTACTTTATGTACAACTGAGAAAGGAATTTCGGTCAAATCTGATGTTACTTATAATAGTTTGTTTCCTTCGAAACCAAACTTGAGATGTAGATTCTTATATACATTAAAACATACTCTCGGTGTTTCAATATTCAAATGCATTCGAATCTTTTCACTGGTATCTCTTTTTCGCATTGTTCACCATCGCTATTGGAATCACTACACATGATAAAGTCTGCGTTGTTATCACACTCGTTATTACCATTTGTACTTTTCCAAGGACGCCACATTTTGAACAGATAACGAAAATTTTAAGTAATTATAACTGCACCAATAACGAATTTCAACACTCAAATCGTCGATCAGCTCCTGAACTGAACACGACGGCGATAACCATCCCCATATTCCCCGATTTCTATTCGTCACCGTAACATGACTTCAAATTCAATTTTATGACTCTTCAGCCGATCATAAAACTCGGTTAGTAAAAATTATCGAATACGAACCGCCAAGTCTACAATCCACGTGGACTAGTTCGCTGCCAGTTCATTTCGATGAATTGGTTTTTTTTGGCCTTTGAGAGTGCCGCCAACTTTGAGAGTGCATAATATCGTTTACTTCGACCATAATAGTCGCTGTTGATGGTTTTCTCTTCTCACGATACTCGAAATACTGATACCATGACCTTGCTAGCCGAATTTTGCTTCTTTGCACGCTTTGGAGTCGATTCACCATGTGATTATGGTGTGAAATGATGGAGGCATGTTTTATCCATTATCACATACCGACGCATAAATTGGGGTTTTTTATGGTGGAACAGCTTCGAACACTGTTCAGAATAATCAATTCGTTGTTGTTTTTGGTGATTTTGAGCTCGCACGTCACCCACTTTGAACAAAGCTTTCGCACATTAATATTATTACTGCGTGCATCGTCCTCGGTGCCCATTTCACCCCGTTTAAACTAAGTGAACCACTTCTCAACAGTTACTTTTCCTGGCACAAAATCCAAACAATATTTATCAACCAAGCCTTGACTTCAATAGTGCTTTTTTTGCCAAACAGCAATTCTTTAATAACACACGAAATTCCTTTTCATCCATTTTCTTCAAACTATTAAGAGTTGCTTCAGTCAAAATGTTTTATCCCACAAACTAATAGTCCGAACGCTGTGAAATTTGTATTCGTTAAGGTTAAGGTTAACCAAAAATCATATAGATTTGATACTAGTAGCGCCATCTGTGCCGTAACTTGCATTAATTGGGAAACGGCGCTGACATCTCTCACGATCTACAGACAGATATCAAAGATAAAAGAGGCTCTCCAAAGGGAGTCCATCATGAACCCAACGTTCGACATCAACCGCTGAACGCTATCTTTTTCTCTTTCTCTAATATTGCTTTTTGCTTCTGTTCAGGCACAGTAAGCCATGTCTTGCTGTACACAATACAGTACTCTTTTTTTTTTTAAGCTTCATAAGTTTTCGTGAATTATTGACTCGTCTTTCGACGACAGACATACACTACAAGTAAAACTGTCACTACACAAATAAACTCAAATTGCTTGCGAGTGCTATGACGGCGTGAGCTTGGGTTACCTTTTCGATGAAAACAGTCGCATCCAATTTCACGTCCGCCCACCTCGACGAGGAAACGGGAACTACTCTTACACACTATTTTTTTAATGTTAGAATGGCGTTCCATAACCACAAAGTTTTTTTACTCACCTAGCGAAACGGCATATTTCACCCAGTGTATTCCAACGCGACTGAAGGCCTCGGGAAGGGCAGCATTCGGATTTACTTCGTAGTAGGGCACTAGCAAAGTGAGGGAGGCACTAACGAGAATGTAGCCCAAGGTGACGATGCCCATGGAGAGCACCGTCGCTATAGGTATGGAAAAGGAGGGATTTTTCGCTTCTTCTCCAGATGTGGCGATGCTATCAAATCCGACGAATGCGTAGAAACAAGTCGCTGCACCGGCTATGACTCCTCCGAAGCCGTAAGGAAGGAAGCCCCCTGTTTGACAAAAATATCGCTGAATGACAGAATGTCTCATAAACCATGAAGGTAATAGATTTCATAAGATTGAAACTATTCGTCAATAGATACTACGGAAGGAACGCAATCCCCACAAAAAATATTGAGCAAGAGCAGGATAAGAACATTGTTTTTTCATTTCTTTGTAAGATGTTATTGTACAGCTGTGTTAAGTTGGCAACACTTGACAGTTGGCAATATTGTTTTAATATTAGTATGTATTCTTGTGTGGTTTATCCCTCTCTCTTGCTTGTTGGTGTTCGACCAGGGCAGTCGATTATTGAAGTTCTGGTGTTTAATTGACAATAAGCACATTTATAGATAATTCATGTTAATAACTCACCTTTTCCGCTAGTCCAGTTGGACTCGTCCGCATAGTAAAACCCAACCCCCACAACCAAAATCATGACAGCCAAGTTGATAAGGGTGAGAAAGCTGTTCACAGCCGTTGAACCCTTGACGCCGATTCCCAGCAGAGAAGCATATACGATGCACACGAAAAAAGCCAAGAAATCAGGGTATTTACTCAGAAGTTGTTCGTGCATTTCGCCAGTTATGGAGACGGTGGTGTTGCTGATAATACCGCCGAAGAGGGAGTCCACGTATCCACTCCATGCACGAGCTACTGATGCGGCGCCTGAAATCGTTAAAATTACAGCTTGTGATGCACTGTTTGGAACCTTTGGTGTAGTAATGAATATTACTGGAGTTTTTTCCAACAATCTACCGTTATTTAAACACCTCGACACCAAGTAATCGTGTTTCTATCACCAAGTGATCGAAACACGTGTCGAGGAGTTAAAATAACGGTGAAAGATCTTCCTCTTGAAGATGATCACTTGATGGTCGAAACACGTGTCAAGGTGTTAAAATAACGTTTTGGTGGAAGATCTTCCTCTTGAAGATGATCACTTGGTGGTCGAAACACATGTCGAGGTGTTAAAATAACGGTTTGGTGTTGGGAAAAAACTCCAGTAATGAAAATTACAGCTTGCCAGTCAGGATGTTCTCAAAATATGCAAAGCTCCAAAGAATTATCCAGAGTTTGTAAAATTTCGATTTTTTTTCTACCATGTAATAAATGTGGTGTTTATCTTAGAAGTATGACTCATTGTATTTTTTACATTGTGAAAAACATAAAGCTTTGAGGTGGAAGAAGAACAAAAAATAAAGTAGTACTCATGAAGTAGGTTGTTGTTACCAACAAAGCGAAAGAAATGAAGTTTATCCTGTATGGGTCTAGGTGTTAGGTGGAAGGATAGAAAATACCCAGAATTGAATGGTCAGACAATAGAAATTGACGAATGGAATTGAAAAACAAAGTACTCCAATTTTTGAAATGGTTTCTCTTGAAGACCACCTTCGTCATAGGTGAAATCAAGTAATTTCTAGACGAGTCTAGAACGATGGATTGAAGTTGAAGTATATTAAGGTAGTAGTTGTTCTCTGCGGCTTCGCCCGCGTATAATTTGGTTAAAGTTTCATGATAGACCAGTTTAAACAAATAGTTACAATTTTTTTTATTGACCCAAAACTTCAGGTTTCCAACTTCCAAACTGACTAAAGTCAATACAATTTTTGAACTCCTATGTTTCCCCTTTGGTGGTGAAAATTCCTGATTCCCTTTCCTGATTATTATGTACGCTATACAAAAAACCTACCTGCATATTTCAAGATTCTAGATTCAGTAGCTTCGGCTGTACGTTTATATGAAGGCGGGCAACAGCTAGTTATTTATATTTTTACTTTGAAAATACAGTAACTGAAAAATATGCCAACTGCACTAAGAAAGGAATAGCTTCGAGAATCAAATTATGTTACCCTTTACGACTTCTGCCCCCTCTGCTCGAGTTCGGGTCGCGTTCTCGGCAATGGCTTTCCACTGTTCAGACCACTCGTCGTCTTACAGTAGACGCGACGCATAATGGCTTACTGAGTTGCGTCAAGTTATTCTTATCGTGATAACTTTTAAAAGATTCTTGCAAATTACTTAGTGTAAAAGATAAAGTTTATCTATATTAAAACTTAAAACAACAATTGAATCCATTTTTATAGATATTCTGCTTGGCTCGGATATTTCGTGCACTGGCGAGCAGTAATACCTCGATGCCGGTCTACTTGAATATTTTCAGGACGGCCCTGTTGCTGTATGAACGAGAAGCATATGCGAGACTAACCTCTGTGACGTATTTGCATAAAAGTCTGTCGGATGTAATTCAATATCTCGCGTGGTGTTAGCCGGGAAAGTAGTTGTTTTCCGGCAGGTATTTACCAGAACCTACGGTGTAGTTAGTTGCTTTCAGAGGTGGACCGTTTATTATTCGAAAATAATTTCATATATTGGGGACATTAGTCGCTTTTCGTCAAAATAATGGAATTACTCACCTATCATATGTTCAAGTAGAATATTCCAACCAATAACGAATGCCCAAAACTCTCCAATACTAATGTAGGTGTAGACGTAAGCAGATCCTGCTTTGGGAACCCTGGTGCCAAATTCAGCATAGCATAATGCTGACAGCAGGCATGCGATACCTGCCAGCAGAAAGGATAAAATGATCCCGGGTCCTGCGATATCCTTTGCTACAGTTCCTGTTAAGACGTATATACCTGCACCCACCATATGACCGACACCTGGAAGGAAAGTGTGGAT